ATTATATAGTGTTTTGATGCATTTTATAATCATTTTTCAGAATTCCTTCTCCGGCATTTCCAAAGCCTGCCCATCTTCCAGTATGGAGTGTGGGTCTACTTCCAGGTCATTTACCTCAGTCACTTTATCTCGTTTCTGGACATGTGCAGATATGGTCATCTGCTTCTGTTTTTTTGGCATATTCAGTGGTTATCTGTGGCCTTCATATTTAGATGGGTATGTATTTTGGTATTTTTTATGCTTTCTGATTGCCTCTAGGTAGATGTGGTCAGGAAATGGGCTTCCTTTTTCACTCTTCTTCTTGAGAAATTTCAAGATGCCTCTCTGTTGGTCGTTTTGACTTAACGTAGGATTTAATTTTCAGGTTATTTCCTTTTTTGTGTGCTTGTCCCGCTCCATAATCCCTGTCCAGGCCTTTTTTCTAGTTGTAAACAGTTCAGGGCTGGCTGTGGCCGTTTGGTTTTAATTGGAAACTGTCTCTTTAAATTTCAAGGAGATCTGTGCACATGCGTAGTAGAACCCGCCAAGGGTGGGGCTGGGGTGTCCACTAGCTCAGGCACCTCTATAGTCACCAGAATGGAGGTGCACAGACAGCAAGGGACCAATGAACAGCTACCCAAAGAGAAGAATGTCCACACCTTTACCTCTGCGGTTCTGTCAGGCATCCGTGGCCGCTCCAATCCTTCCCCCACTTGGTCTCACCCAAGATGGCGGCTACTGGAGCAGCTGAGCATCCTGGACTAGAAAACAATGGATTTGTTGCTTCTGTCACAAATTCCCCAACTGTAAGCCTTCCAACCTTCTAACTATTCCTTTATATGCAGTTCAGAGTTCTGGGACCAGCCCCTGAGCCTGCTTGGTCAGGTATTCTGTGTTGTTGCTGGCGGAGCTCCTTTACTGTACTTCCACCCGATCCGCCATCTTGTTTGTTCTCCTCTTCATTATTATTTTTAATAGGTAACTAAATTGTACTTACGTTACCTCTAATGATAAATATGTCTTTTGATATGTTATAGTGCTTGAACAAAATATCACTTTATTCTGTTGTTTAGTAAAAACAGATCTTTTATATTATTCTGATTTTCATGTTATACTAGACTTGAGTTTCCCTAGTCTCTTGCTTGCTGAAAGCTATGGCCTAATGCACTGTACCACAAAGTTGGAGGTTCAACTTTACCAGCCGCTCCTTTTAAACCCTACATAGGGTCACTAGGGAGTCCTGGTATGGCACCATGGGTTAATACGCTGGACTGCAAGGTTCATTTGAAGCACAGTGTTGGTGGTTCAAATTCACCAGCCACTCCTCAAAAACCTGTACAGGGTTGCTGTGTGTCAGAACTGACTCAGTGGCACTTAACAACAACACTTTGTTATATCTGAACAGGATCTGGTATGAGGCACTAAGAAGAATAAGACATCAGTTTGAAAGATCACATATCAGAGCCTCATGAATTCTAAAATGAAGGTGTAGCAGACAATAAATTTATGGTAAAGCCAGAGTGGAAGAATGGTGAAATCATTGATGCTTTATGAAAGCTAATGGGGACAGTGTCAGCAAAAAGATGTGAGTGGAGTCTGACCTCTGACTTCACAAGACAGAACGAGGGTGGTCACCAGCCCACTGCTGATTTCCATGACATGCCTCCACCTTCCACCTTTCCTTACTAACTGGTACCCACCATCCCTCTCACAGCACTCTACTTCTTTGCTGGGCTCAGTCATTCAGTGCAGTGGCCACACACAACTCACAGACACTGTCATTATGGGCTTTCTTAGGGACGTTCACTGTACAAGTTAGAGTCCGAATACAGTCCTTTGAATCAGGGGTGCCTCTCAGTCACACACTTCTCTCATCCTCGGCCTCCCACCCACATGGCCCATTGGTCTCTGACCTGCTCAGGCAGGTGTCACAAATCTCCTTAGGTGCTGTTGTTAACTGTCAAAGTGCACCCATCCCATGCTGTCAGCCTGCCTCCATCCTGAAGGCAGACAGCTTTACTCGCTCTGTGGACAAGGACGAGCTGGCCTCTGTCTCCTGTTCTTGGCTCTGCTGCCACTCCCTCTTCTCTGCTGGGGATCTCAGGGTCCAAAAGGCACCCTCTCCTCATGGCTCTTTTTGTCTTGACGCTCGTGCAGTTTCCCCTTCCTGCTTCTGAGATAGCTCATTTTAAACCTAGTGGCATGACAAAATGAACCAATTCCCAGGTAGTTTCACGCCCCCTTTTTAATATGGTACCGCTCAGTCATTTGTGGGAGTTACAAAGACTGTGGTTAGAAGAGACATACTAAATAATTTCCTGTGTCACCGTGTCCCAAAAGACATCAGAAGAGGCAGACTATCCACCTCAGTTTTTGAGGAAAACAATTTTATTCACGCCCTAATAGAAGGGGGCTGATGATTAACAACAGAAACAGTAACCAGTACCATAGACATCTCATTTGGTTCAGCGTACACAATTGTAACTGAAAAACTGTCCGTTGGGTAAACTTTCCATTTGGGTGCCAAAACCATTGCACCCAGATCAACTACAGACAAGAGCAAACTGTCAATGGAAATGTGAGACAAGTGGGATGGAGATCTTGAACAATTCTTACGAGATGAGATAAGGCTTTACCACTATGATCCTGAAAACACAGTGCAATCAAAGCAAATGATTACAAGAGGTGGAAACTGACCAGTCAAAACAAAAGCAGACTTGTCCAGAGCAAATGCCATGGCAACAAGTTTGCAGGCTGCTCAGAGCATTGTGCTTGTTAAGTTCCTGGACGGCCAAGGCTAGGGTGTTTTGAGAAAGCCAAAGCGCTAACAGAAAAGTGCCTGGGAAAGTTTCATCAGCATGGCCTCCGTCACCGTGACAACGCTGCTGCTCTTTCCTCCCATCAAACACGGCAATTTGGGGAGAGTTTCAGTGAGAAAGCATTAGCTAGCCACATTAGTCCTGATTTTGGCTCCTGACTTTTTATCCTACTTAAATCTTTAAAGTACACCCATTTTTCTTCAGGTAACAATGCAAAAATGACTACGTTGATCGGTTAAATCCCCAGGACCCCTGATTCTATAGTGATTGGCTGAATGACTAGTATTGCTACTTACAAAACGTACTGAACTTGATGGGGCTTGTGCTGAGAAATAATGGTTATGGTTTTTAATTTTGTCATTTACTTCTGTTTTCCATAAGCTGTTTGAAGTCTACTTAGATGTCGAATGGGCCATGAAAGGGATAAGAGACTCATTAAGTTGTACTGATTTTTATTTCCTGTAACATTTTAGGAGATCCCTGCAGAATGGCATTCAGAGTTGATGTTAGACAGAGATATACCAGTGGAGTTATGGGCGCATTACATAGAACAACTTAACACGGGTCAGATGATTGCTGTGGAGGACTCTGTTTTACTTGTATTTTCACTAAAAAATTTTATTCACGCACTGAAGGTTCCTAAATGTTTTCCTGAAGGTAAGACTTGAGCTGTGAATGTTTTCAGTGTGATGCACTGGGAAAACCGTATGTGCATCGACTCCATGATTCTTCTTTGTGTTGATGGTTTGTGCACTGCTTTCTCTTTCTCTTCCTGTACGTGTAGATGACCAGTGGTGGGATCCTGAGCAGCTGAAAGACGACAGCAAAGACTATCTGCACTTGCTGATTACGCTCTTTGAGATGCTACTTGCCAATGCAGATGCCATTCATTTCAGGGTGCTCATGAAACTTTTCAAAAAGGTATTTATTAAGCTCATCCCTTTTCAGCACACAGATTGTTTCTAATGGTGTAGATCATTGTTGTTAGGGGACTTTTAAGTAAGTCACTAGTATATGAACGTAGTAAGCACAGCCTCTGTACAACAATGTTGTGACCACGATATCTACCGGAAGTTTGATAGGGACAGTGCACATTGCTGCAAGCTTACTCATGTGTTAGGCCCTAATTTTAATGACCTTTCCCAGATACTATTCTTGTGGAGTACTGGTGTGGATTGCTGACCACAAGATTGGCAGTTCAAACCCACCAGCCACTCCTTGGAAGCCCTATACAGAGTTGCTGTGACTCGGAACCAACTCCTCAGCACATAACAAGTGCAGCACTTGTCGTAATGTTTACTTAGTATTCTCGGCTTTCTTGTTCAGTGTATTGAAGTACAAAATGACAGCGAGGTTTCTGATGTCACTGTATCCTTCCAAGTTGGTTAAAGTATCAAACACAATAAGTTTAAGGGTCATCTTAGGCAAAACAAAAACATTATAAATAGTTTGCATTCTATAACTAAAACATTAGGAAAAGAGAATTTACACCCAACTTATTTTTTGCATAAGGATTAAACTATTTTTGTTTCCCCTCAAATTAGGTACATCTACAAGGCGTTTTTCAGTTATTCAAGTTCCTTTCTGTTTTATGGACCTATGGTTCTAGCCTTTCAAATCCACTCGCCTGCCATGTGCATACAATGCTGCAAACTCAAGCTCTTTACGTTGGTTGTGCAGTGCTCTCTTCTCTGAAGACCAAGGATAAGCACCAGCTGGCATCCGTGTCTTCTCCAGGTATCAGAGGGAGCACATTCTGTCTTCAGCTGCAGTTGCTTTATCTGTTACGTTCTATATGTAGACTAGTTTGGAAATATACAGCTTTTTTTTTAATTTTTGAAATAAAATGTGTGCACAGACTTTTTCTTAAGGAGCTCTGGTAGCGTAGTGGTTACAAATCGGCCTGTAAACCTTAAGGTCAGCAGTTCGAAACTACCAGCTGTTCCGTGGAAGATGACACTTTCTGCTCCTGTAAAGATTTACAGCCTCGGAAACGCTGTACAGGGTCACTGTGTTGGAACCGACTCCACGGCACTTCACCACCACCACAGACTTTTTCTTAGTACTTCTAAGTTTTGCTATTAAGCTGTAAATGGTAATTGCAGAAATTCAGCAAACACAAAAATAAAATAAAAATGATTGATCCATAGAATTTTTTTTTTTAAATCTAGCTATTCCTTTTTTTGCGCCCCAGTGGTTGTAGGGTGAATGAGAAGAATGAGCTCTCAATAAGGAAACATCTAAAGAAAACAGTTTTTGTTTTACAGTAATGTTGAATATTTTTGTAAAAAAACAATTTCATGACGTTGGTGTGGTGGTTGATAAATGGATCCATTAACTTAAAAAGCTATTGGTAATGAGAAGCTGTGGCGGAATTAGACCAGATAACAATTGAAGATGAAATTAATGAATATGATTGATTCTTTGGACTGGGATTACTTTGCTGTCAGAGACGCTTGGGAAGTTAAAAATGCCCCTGAGTATTTCAGTTTGCTTTGAAGCCAAAGTGAATGGTGATTCCCTTTTCTTGTCTTTTTTTTCTTTTTTTAAGGTTTTTATTGTGGATTGAGTGAAAGTTTACAGGGCACATCATCAGTTTTACATTCAACAAATCATACACCTTGTTTCGCTCTCCTCCATGTACCAGCACTTAACAGTGTTTCTCTCTATCCACTTTAGCTTTTTAAAAAACAAACAAAAAAACCCCACTCAGGCATATATAATAATTTACATCTCCAAAGGGCACATTCTATAAGTCGGCTCTTGGCCACGAGCTCTTAGTCCTTCTCTTCTTAGTCCATGAATCTTGAGTCCTCAGCCACTCCCCGTCTCCATGCCCCCATCTCTGCCTCCATCTCTGGCGCTGCTGCTTCTCTGGATAAGGTCCCGCATTCTTCTTGTGTGTTCCTCTCTTGATGGTCCTAGGGTCCTCTGTTTCTGGACTGTAAGATTAAAAAAACTTTTTTTTGTTAAAAAACTTCTACCTTTATAATTGTTACAGTCGCGATTAGTCATGATAACAATTATTCACTATTGAATCTCAACGAATCTGATCCCCATCTCTTTTCACCAGATCCATCTAGACAAGATGACAGCTATTCAGTGGGGACTCTTTTATTCCCCCCATACTCTTAAACTAAACTCCGTCTTGAAACCTTGTAAGCCAGTCACTTCATGCCTCTATTGCCCCCTTATTTTAGGTAGCCAATGTCTAAGTTGCCCAGCCCTATCTACCCTGGGTACAGATGGGATAGCATTGATACTTGATGTGAAGACTCCTTCCCTCTGATGGTATTTAACTACCACTCTGAGCATAGGTCAGGTTCATCATGAAGATGTATTTTCTGTCACTGTAGCTGTTCAGTCTACGTGTCCTTTCTAGTGGGAATGTGCCACCTCATAAGGTTCTGGATGGGACTCAGGATTCCGCATAAGGTCCTATACTCTGTAAAGGCTTTGCACGAGGCATGTTTCACTGGGCAAGTTGTAGAACCCCATTTAGGTATTCCAATCAGTTATAGGCTGAAGGCGGCCTTACAAATTTTCTCTAATCATGTGTCCCA